CTTGTGGATGAAAAGCTCCATCTGGGCATTGTACCAAAAACAAGGGTGGTTTGGCTCGTCAGTGAGACATTTAACTACAGTGCAATTGACCGTGCAAAATCTAGAGGCAAAAAGTATGCTTTAGAGAAAGTGCCAAAAGTAGGTAGAAAATTTCATCGGATAGGACTTCCTCCTAAGATTGGTTCCTTTCAGTTATTTGTTGAAGGTTACAAGGAGGCTGAATATTGGCTTAGGAAATTTGAAGCTGACCCTTTGAGAATATTAGAAAACAATTTCAGTCACAGTTTGAAAGATTAGTTATTTTGGATTACCTCATCAGAAATACAGACAGGGGAAATGATAATTGGTTAATCAGATATGAAAACCAGAAACAAGAAGATGAAATTACGGAAACAAAATGGACTGATGATAAAGAAACGCTTATTAAAATAGCTGCAATTGATAATGGTCTAGCATTTCCTTTTAAACATCCTGATGAGTGGAGAGCATATCCATTTCACTGGGCTTGGCTTCCTCAAGCAAAAGTTCCTTTTTCTGAAGAAATAAGAAATTTAGTTCTGCCACATATTTCTGACATGAACTTTGTGCAAGATTTATGTGAAGATCTTTATGAACTTTTTAAGACTGACAGAAGATTTGACAAAGCCACTTTTGAAAGGCAGATGTCTGTGATGAGGGGTCAGATCTTAAATCTTACTCAGGCATTGAGAGACAGGAGGAGTCCTGTCCAGCTAGTACAGATGCCTTGTGTGATTGTGGAGCGCAGTCAAGGTGGAGGTCAGGGTCGGATCGTCCACCTCAGCAATTCATTCACCCAGACTGTCCACTGCAGGAAGCCTTTTTTTTCCTCCTGGTAGCAGATGTGAGAGAAAGAAACTGTTTGGCATTATTGTGTTGTTACAACATTACCGCCCTGTAAACCTGCTGGTAAGAGTTCCAGTTGCCAAAACCTCAAATAATATAAGTTTCTAAAAGGTTTTCTTTGAATGTAATTGAAGTTTACAGTTTTCTGTCCAAATACTAAATTTCTATTTCAGGGAAGAAGTGATATATCTCCTATGTCGTATTTTTGTAGAAAAATTGTATTTTATGTTGTTGATGTTAGTTTCAGAGGTCATTTCAAAGTTTACACATTCTGGAATGACTATAATTACTCTAGAATTCCAAACAGAAAAATAAGGTGTTTGTTGACTTTGAATACAATAACTTTTTATATACTTTTTTAATATTGAGAAGAATGGTCATGTTAACTCTTCTTACATTATAAAAGGCCTTTGAGGATGAAACTGCTCTTATGAGCTTTAATAGAGTAGTTAATAGAAAATAGTTAAGAATAAAACAATGTTGCCTTAATTTAAAAAGCTGCTACTTTAGAACTTGAATAAATGCTCCTAAAGTGACCATTATTAGGGACCAGAAAATTATATTTCAAGTTACCAATGACCATTTTCTTTTTTGTACTTCAGAATATTTTGGGTCAATTATTTTGTTATAGTGAGGGAAAAAAAATCTAACGCTATCTCCCCCTTTAAAAAAATGGAAACACTCAACTGAGACTTGAGGGGAATACTATGAAATTAAGATAGATCCCCAGTATTTTGAAATTCCAGAATAGCATTAAAAATTCCCATCTGTTTCTTGCATGGGATCAATACTTAATCATTTAGTACCTCAGAGTACTGATCTCGTTCAATTTAGTACTTCAATTAGTATTAAACTTCACTGAAAGGTAAACCATAACTCAAACCGTATATTGGGTTGCATTTTCAGGTCCTAGGACATAACCTCTTAAAAATAATAGTAGTGTTGTAGGGTACTTGAAATTACTGATGTTATTATAATTACAGTCAACTTTAGAATACTAGTCCCAGTTAAAGGGGACCGTAACAGAGATAACCATTAAGTCATTTTTATTTGATTTTGAATATCAGTATTTCTGACATCCTGGGAATTTGTAGTACTTTTAACTTACCAAGTGATTGAAATTGAGATGAGCCCGATATGAAGATTTGATCCCAAAGAAGCAGGAGCTTCATTCTCTTCTTAGGCTCCAAACAAATAACATCACCACTCAGACTAAACTGGGCAGTTTGTGGTCTTGGCCTTTTGTCGTTAAGCTTTCTGTCCTGTAATTTTTCAAATTATTTTTATATAAAAAGTATTTCCTGAAGATTGAATTAGGATGGAAGTCAGATCTGCCGTTCTCCCTTTCTTCACACCTTTCTCTTGGTCTTCGTGGATGTGATGAGTGAGGATTACTGCTGTCCTAGTGGAAGTCCATTGGAAACCTGTGTTCTCCTACCTCCCCTGACCCTCCATGATCTCAATGTTGAGATAATGGAAAATTGACTGGAAATTCAAAGCTCAAGCTAATATCTTTAGATAAATACCAGTCATTAAAA